GAATTATTCGATTGTTGAAGAAGATGCTGATTTGCATAAGGCTAGCAAAAACATTCTTTGGAGCGCATGGTGCCATATGGGCCAAATTTGCATGAGCACTGATAAAACCTATATTCATGAGTCCGTGTACGATACATTTTTAAATACGATTAAGGATACAGCTGAATCTATGATGAGAGACCCAGATTATAAATTGCCTCATAGAGACGAAGGATTTGCAAGGAATATTGGTAAGCTTGTGAGTGATGCAGTTGCTAAAGGTGCCAAGATTGAATATGGATCTGATACTAAGTTCTCTGATAATGGTGAAAATGTACCCGTTACTCCAGTTATTATTACTAACATAACCTCGGATATGTTACTCGATTCTGTTGAAACTTTTGGCCCCGTGTTGTCTGTTTACAAGTATAGTGATGTAAATGAACTTGTCAGCAAGTTAAACAACGATCAAAGTTGTTTAAAGACGGCAATCTGGTCTACAAATACTTTAAAGGCATTACGCATTGCTAAGAAAATCCAATGTGGTGGTATCCATATAAACAGCTCCACAGTCCACGATGAGCCAACTATAGCTCATGGTGGTATCAAAGAAAGTGGACAAGGCAGAATCAATAGTTCTTGGGGTATTGATGAGTTTTCATATGTTAAAACGATTACGATTGATGAATAAGCTAATGTTTTTAGTTTGTATGTGTATAATCTATGTCTACGTTAAAATCCTCGCTTCGACAAGTTTTCGGCTATATCTAAATACAATGCAATAGCATTAAACTTTGATGTAGGATGAAAAAAAGTGCTATCAATAGCGTTTCTTAATTTATTTGTCCAATTGATCAAGTCAAGGTGGTCCACATCATCCAATGTACCAATATATTCGCCCCATTTTGCGCTTTCTACACTCACAATGCCGTCATTATCAATTCGATCTAAACCAGGTTTAGTTTTATCTCGAAATTGCATTTCATATTTCATTATCTCCCAAGTTAATTTAAAGACATTAAACCATTTAGGGTTGAAGCGGGCACCATAAGAAAAGTAGGATACATCAGGGTCATCCTTTACTTTCTCATTGAATTCTACCATACTTTTTGTAGTTAATTCATGTACTGATTTCGGACATACTGAGGATAAGTGATTCTTGTTCTTTAAAAATTTAACAATAAAGTCTGCACATTCAGAGCCATGATGAGGCGTAGAAATAGTGGTTAATGAAACTACTTGATAATTAATATGCTTTAGTTTAGATATAAGATAACGGCTATCCAAACCACCCATAGAGTGAGCAATCAAATTAACCTTAATTGGTTTATTCGTTTCTTCGAACGTTGCATCTTCTGATACATCATCGTCTGATTTGTTTGACATACTACTATAGATAGACGACTTTGATTCACTTTTACGAAGTTCGTCGCATTCTCTGTTAATAAAGTCATTCAAATGGGTTGCTCTTTCCTTTATAGTTCCAAACGGAGGAACTTTGGCAATCAAAACAGTACTTCCTATATTTTCAAGAGCTTCCTTAATACCATACCAATAATCTATATTCAACAATCCATCATCGATAGTCTGTTTGACTTTTTCGCTAGCTTGGTGCAATCGATTATGGAATTTCGGTTTATGCATGAAACTTAACTTGTCAAAACCAGAAAATCCATGGCATAACACAATAGGATACCTTGGTATTTCATATTTTTCTTTCAACGTATTGAATTTATCAGTGATTATTGGTTCTTTCTTCTTTTCTTGTAAATCTATGACTTTGTTTCCTCCATGATCGGTTTTTCTAGAAGACCCGGAGTAAAATCGAATAGCAAAATTTGGATTAAAGTTTATTATGCCAATAGCATGGCTATTAGGTCTCCGTACGCAGTTATATCTTATACGCATGTCATCATATGTTCTAATTTATCTACACCTAAGTTGATAACATCTAAATTTCATTCTCATATCTAATTAAACACGTGACTAAACACCTATCTACCACTGATGGCCCTTATCATTAAATCTTTGGCAGTATCGACTATATTTAACGATTTCATACCAAAACCTCTAAGGAAAACAATAGGGGACCAATCGGTTGAAAATATCTTATGTAATTTATCGCAAACACCCATCAATACATGATTGGCAGGCCATGCATTAGCAGTATAATTTTCTAACACTAATGTTGAACCAATGTCAAGACCTCTGCTCACCCCATCTTCAAGAGCCTCGAGTAAACATGCTACATCTGATTGTCCCATATTTAGGCCCTGTCCCGCTAATGGATGAACAGTGTGAGCGGCATCTCCAATTAATGCAATACGAGGAATTGCATATGTATCGGCATGGGATAACTTCAACGGAAATCTAGCTCTAGAATTCTCCACCACTGTAGTAACCTGTAATGGATATTTTTCTTCCAAAATAGAGAGCTTTATTTTCGACATGCGCCATTCTATGTCCTCAAGAACTGACTTGTCATTTGGATCTTTCTTCAATTGTTCATAAATGTAATTCAAATCAACCTCAGATAAGGTCATGGCTGCGTTAATTAAATGTGGAAAAATCTCTTCATCAACCCTTAAAAATAATTCAGACAACTCAGGGGTGGTAGACCAAACAATAGTAGCATTATCTTCAGTTAGTGGCAAAATGGCAAGTGGTCCGGTTGTGAGGAATCTTTGCCATGCAATTGAACGATAGTCTTCATATTGATGCTTGATAGTGGCCACGACACCAAATCTATTATACGACCAACCCCTAGATGGGATATGGGAGAATTTACGAACAGGAGAGTTAAAACCGTCCGCACCCACTAATAATCTTGTTTGTAAAACATCCCCATTCGAAAGTTTGACAATTGGCCAGTCAATTTCTGGGTTGCCTGCTTCTGGGTCGTTTTCCAATAACTCATGCGTATTTTCTTCTTTCGGATTAATAATTTCAACAACCTTAGTATTATCTAATATAACTGCTTCTTGTTCAATGCTCGGATCCTTAATATTGTCATTTAATTCGTCAATCTTCGATATCAATGAGCTTTGAATATTGACGTTTTCACACATCGCTGCCAAAACACCAACACCTACAGTACTTCCATCAAATCTTATACGGGAATCTTTATCTTGGGAATCATAAGCGACAATATTATCATAGAATTTGATTCTGTCCTGGTCTATGTAGTCCCAATTTCCAATCTTTTCTTGCATGAATTCTACTGATTTAGGAGTCAATGAAACAACTCTGTTGGTATACTCATCCGGTGGGTTTATACCAAAGTCACGAACAGATTCTAAACTCGACCCTTCCACCAATGTACATTTTAAATGTTTTGTCTTATGAGAATTTTTCAAAGCTGCTAACAACGATAATCCAGCCGGTCCCCCACCTATTACTACTACATCCTGTAATTTTGGAGAGCTGACAGACGCAGCTGTTGCTAGTGATCTAGCAAATGATTTTAAAAGCATGGTAGGTTATAGAATACTTCATTACCTTTACAAGAAACTACCTAATAAACTTTGTGGTTCGATTTTAAGGTGCATTTTCAGCGCGGTCCAGAATTTTTCATATCCTTTACATTAAAGCTATTTAAAACACTATAACGACTAGACAGTTAAATATAAGGATAGAAATAGAAAAATAAAATACAAAATATAGATAATGAAACCAGTATTAATATAATAAATGCCTTATATTGTTTAAAACAATTCTTTTATTTTTTTTTGATTTTTATATCACATTTTCTTGGAATATACACCGCACTAGGTCTTAGGAATATCTTCCAATTTGACTTTACCACTTTCAACCCAATACGGATCTATTAATCTTTCTTTTTCTTCATACATTACCTTGTATGAAGTCTTGATAGTACCATCACTGACACCAGTCTTATCAGCAATCTTGGAAGGTTGTAAGTCAGCCCCAAAGACCAAAGCAGCCATATATATAACAGTTGCTGCAATGGTGATGGGTGATCTACCCGCCAAAACACCGACTTCTTTACAACGTCTCGCTATGTGTTCAGCGGCGTTGGTAACTTGCGTACTCAAACCCAAGTGCGAACAGAATCTTCTGATCAAATCTTCGGCCGAAGTTTGGGTGGTTTGCATGTTGTCTTGTATAAGAGAGTATGCGTTTGGATTAGCAGCGTTCTTTTCCTGGATAATCTTATTCATGATTTTGAAGACTTTACCGATTTCCTTTCTTGGAACATTGGTTAAAGCCCAAATTTCCTTGAAAGAACGAGCCACCTTGGCTTTACGACAACCAATGAAGATTGCTGCCGCCATAATTGATTCCTGTGACTTACCTTTCAAAGGCCTTTCTTCATAAACCAATTTGTACACTTCCTTGGCACCATCTTGAACAATCTTTGGTAATTGGTACCCATCACACATTTGCGACAACTTCGAATATGCTGCCGCCAATGCGTTGTCCTTTTTGTCTACTAAGGACTTAGATTGCGCTCTGTTTAATTCTCTACCGACCTTGGTGTTATCGGGGACATATGAAATCATTGTAGACAAATCTTCAGTATCTAACAACGGGTTTCCGGCGTCACCAACACGACTTGGATCATCACCATTCTGATCATCATTACTGAATGTTCTCCATTCAGACCTTGTATCGACAACACGATCACTAAGGACTAAACCACAACTACCACAAACAATGTCACCTTCACTAAATCTCTCTATTAAATCAGGAGGAAAAATTTTACATTCCGGACATGTTAATGTGATATTTAGGTTTGGACCAGCAAATGGTTCATCCATAGCATTTCCAGCAGTTTGAACACTCATAGTTATCTTATAACTCTTGTTGATATTTATAATTAATAATCAATGAATGAGCGGGTATTTGATTTAACTATTCTAACGCAACAATAATAATATATTGGTTTATTTGTATTCGACTGAACGATACAACTGTAGATAGTATGTGGTGAAGGGGATGGAGGTAGATGGGCGGCCTAAGCTGATAAGAAGAAGGGTAATTAGTATCAATTGTTATAAATGACTTTGAGTTCTCAAGAGGTAATAATTAGATGGTTAACACACGACACACATAATAAAAGCATTCGAAATGATTCTACAGAAGATAACCGATTACAGGGTATCATTATAAGACTTGGGGTCATTGTGACATCACGAAAATGTGTGTTTTACCAATGTGAATTGATTTATGAAAAGAAATATGAAATTTTGGAAAAGGATTAAGAAAGACATGAGGTATTCAATGTAGATCTATTTTTTCTTTTTCGATGGTTGGTCATCGACGTTTGCAGTCCGCTTTTTACTGTTCGTGGTGTCTTGTTGGGAAGTAATCCCATCATCATCGTCTTCCTCGCTTATATCTAATTCTTCACCCTCAGAGCTATCTTCATCATCCAAGCCATCTCCTGGCAAGGCCTCGGTGTAGTACTTAACCGCATAGGGAAATAAGTCATCGATTATCAATCTAGTTAATTCGTCACCGCTGCGGAATTCTTTTCCTGGTTTGGTACCAGTCCAGTTGAACCATGAAAAAAATGATTTCATGCCTAATCTATAATTTTTCTTATCGTCTGACGACAAGTCTTTACCCTTATTCTGTTTGATAAGGGTAGGATTTATTTCTTTTAGTTCTTTAGGCCATTTAACATCGACTGGTGACGAGCTGAGCTTCTCTTCCCCATCTTCAATAAATGAATGAAAATGCTTGGTTATCTCTTGGGTTGGCACTAACGGTTCATCATTCTCATCATCTTTGAAGGCCACGGTAATTGAAAAATCTCTAGGGTTTTCGGAGCTTTCAGTATCAGCAACCTTATAATGCACGTAAATGTCAGTGATATATTCAATGTATTTCAAATCATCACCACTGACATAGTCAGGAAAGTCATCATTTTCAGCTAATACAATATACCAGAATTGGGGAATCTGTGTTAGTATTTGACGACGTTTCTTATAGATACTTTGAGTTTTCCTAATTCTATAAACACTAGCATCTATTTCTGCTTTATCCATTTCCTGTTCACAATCAGCTAACCCAATTAAGCACTGTTCAAGCATCTGGGAATCCTTTTCCACGGATTCTTCCTTTTTAGCCATCATGGATACTCGTATCTATATCACTTATCTATGTTGAAAAATAATTATATATAAATTATTCAGGAATATTTAGATCATCTACTCTTTATACTTATTTTTGTGTAACTAAAAAGCCTATACCAATTCCATTGAAACTACAGACATATGAACAAATTAACGACCACCCTTTCTTACTCTTTTACTCATTTCTGGTAACTTGAAAGGAACCTTTAAGGTTGCGACTTTATAAGTGCTTGCAGAAACTTTTGGAATACCAAATGCTTCTGCCTGGGCAACGGTAGCTGATTTAATAATTGCGCCCAATGCTTTGCATAAACTAACTAATCTAGTTGGCTTCATATTTAACTCATGAGCTAAAGGAGGTAACTCAACCATGAAGTTATCAATATGGAATATGATAGCTAATAAGTAACACAATAGCTTATCTTCATGATGAGGATCGATTACGAACGATCTATCTTTTGACTTACCGAATTGCGAGGCACGAGGAATGGTAAATCTTTCTAAGATACCATCGACTAAAATTTCAGAAGGCTTGTTTTGTAATTTTAACATTAAAGTCTGTTTGTCCTTAACACGGCGGTTTTCGTAAACTCCAAATAATAAAGATGCGTAGTATAATAATTGTAATTTTTCAGTGTTATTGCTAGAAATTAATAGGGCCAAATGCTTTGATACATAAATTGACTTATCGTATGGTAATAATTCCAATCTTTGCTTAGGGTCTTCTTCAGTGAAAAGAGAATTAACACGCAAATATGACCATTCCCTCTTGGGTATTATATTGTACAATGGATAGATATCCTCAACGTTAGTGGCTTCAACGTTTGCAATTGGTGTTGGTCTATCATGTGTAACAGTATCTTCCATTTGCTTTCTAGTTGGCAAATCTTGCGTGGTCTCTTTAACAGAGTCAACAATATCCAATTCCATTTCTTGCAACTTATCTGCGTCAATTCTGTTCTTTTCTAAGTTTGTGATCGCAGCCTTGGCCTTCTTGGTACCAAAAGCTTCACCTAATGCATTACGCTGCGTGACATTACGAACTCCGGCTTGTCTAATAGAAGGTCCTTTGAATGATCTCTTCGACTTGGCTGTCACCTTACTGAGCACTAATGGAGATTTATATAAATCGACCGATTTGTTAAGAGGGTCGTATAATGCAACTACATAATCATTATTATCGTCTTCGACGGTTTCACCATTATAATCCAATCTTTCATTTTCTCCATGAATTACGAACTCATCGTTCTTTTTATGCTTATACAAATCAAATTCAATGTCGCTTGGAACCGATAAACCCTTGAAAAATGATCCAACCACAACGGCGGGATCTTCCGTGTAGGACGAGACCCTTAATTCTGTAGTCTTAGACTCTCTCTTTCTTTTCTCCCCTGACATATAGATTCCAATTATAATTATCCGTCAACACAGTAAAAATGAAAATAATGCTTCTTCATCTCATCTAAGTATATGCTTCAAAAAAAAAAATTTCTGAAAACGCACGTGATTAATGAATATCTAAATTTCATACTTTCATGACTACTGGTTGGGACATAATTACATAGATTTCGGTTATGGATCCATATATAGAGGACAGGGATATAAAGAAACGAAGCCATTATGAAGTTCTTGGCGTAGTACCGACTTGTAATGACTTTGACATCAAAAGTGCATATAAAGAGATGTTATTAGCACATCATCCAGATAAGAACGGAAATGGTTCAACTACCATAAATAGCATACAAGAAGCATTTAAAACTCTCATAGACCCAGAATTGAGAGGCCAGTACGACGATTCACTAAAAAGATCTATCCAGAGACAAGGATTCAACATAACAGGAGATGGACTAGATATATACAGTTTGGATGATTTTGAAGTTGAGGAAGAAGAGGAATGTAAATGGCTCAAGGATTGTCCTAGATGCCAGTTTCCGAAGTCCATCAAGTTTAAGGAATCGGACTTGATTGAAAACGGAACGGAGGATGGCGACAATGGATTCGACATCATAGTGCAATGCGAAAGTTGCAGCTTATGGATAAAAGTGAAATATTACGAGATTAATGAAGAAGATGACGAATAAATATAGATTGAGCTAGACTTTTAAAACTAATATATACAATGCAATAAGCCTAACTAGATTCATTTATGTAAGACACATGTCTGCCGTTGAATCTGAATTTTTTTAAACTTCGATTTTGTTTTTGTTTTGCTTTCTTTTCTTCCCAGATTTGTTCTGCCTGCCAAACAGCACTTAATGCATAACCCATGGCTTTGAAATCCGTCATTAAATTAACATGACCACAACTTGACGAGAATTTACCCACAATTTCACCTTCACCAGTTTCTTCATCATAAAACTGAAATCCTTTATTTTCCGGCATTAACCATTTCTGATGTATAACACCATCACCATGACCATAGTAAAATTCATAATAATTACCTTCCTTTATATCGTCTATGTCCCGAACAGTCGAACCTCTCACGGAAGGAACTCGGTTACCATAAACAACAGCTAATGGTGGATATTCTGCCGCTAACTCTTCCTGAAAGTTCAATCCAAGAATGAATTCTTTAGTACTTTTTAAGGTTTCTTTTAAGTATTCGTAAGCTTGAGTAAACAGAATAAAATAATGTTCTTCTTCACTCAGAGGTTCCGGAGATGGCGATAATAGTCTTAGGGAATTTATACTTGGATTACTTGGGCTCGTAGATTCACTGCCAGTATTAAGACTGTTTGGCTTATTTTTCCGAGAGATAGATTTGGTTCTGTAGTTTAAAAGCTTAGATCCTAAACTGTTGATTCTTGGAAATGAATAACCTGAATCAGAAGTTACGAGCGTAGTTGAGCTTGCTACGTCATCAGATACAGGACTTGATATCCTTGACATTTCTTGAAGTTTTCGGGATTTAGCAACCAATGGATTCAAGTTGTATTCGACCCATGTTTCAGGATCAAAATAGTCCAAATCATAAAATTCTTTTGTATCTCTATTCACAAATGCTCTGCCGCTTGGCGGCAAGAAATTGAAACTGGAACGCATCATGAAATTAGTTTCAGGAGTCAAAATCTTATCTGAAAACAAAACTGAATCACCAAACCGTATAGGCCCCAAGACATTGAGACATTCACTAGGTACTCCAACATATACAATAGATCTGAATAATTTTGGATTTTTCTGCATTGCACTGTGAGCAATCATTCCACCCATAGAATGGGCTATTACTAAAGTAGGTTTACCAGTCAGGTTGTAGATTTCCTCTAAAAACTTTTCAAACTGATCTGTTATGACTTTTCCGCTTAGTCTCCAATCGTATCCAAACTCTTTAACATTCGTTTTGGGATTATGTGACAACTTTTTGAGTAATTTTTTACAAATATCAACTGGTCCTATGTTTTTCAAAACCCCATCAGGATAAATGTAACGACTTGCATTTAGCTCATCTTCTTTTGTAGGTCCTAGTAGGAGGTTTATTTTTCTTAAATGGAAACCAGCCTTAAAAGGAATCCAAACTCGTTTATTTGTCTTAGTCTCACGTAAGACTGACCCACGATAGCCCCCCAATAATACGATATTCCCATCAATTTCATTATAAATAGTTTCGTACTCTTTTTCTTTCTTGTTCGAAAGAATGAAATCTGGCAACATCTCATTGAGATTCGCTGCAACAGAATGCTTCACTGCTCTGAAACGAACATCATACACACCCTTAAAGTCTTTAAAATAATTAGCTTCGTCAAGCGTGCTAACCGATTGTTGTCGTTGTAATTTAACTCCGATTTCATGCCTGATGGGATCATGGTTATGTACATGGGGTATAGGGTCCTGTTTGAATGCTTGAAATTGTTTATATAAGTTTGATCGGATATTAGTTAAACCTCCAAATGGCAAAGAGAAAGAAAATACCTTCTGGGATTCGTTATAATCGGGATGACTTATAGTGTCTTTAGCTTTCCCCGATGTATGCACATCTTGTTCTCCAGCTGTCTTCTTTTTATCGCTAACAGTGTGCTTTCCTTCATAAACATCAGTTATAGATTCTCCGCCCACAATAGAATCCGCATCGCTTCTAGGCATCCGTCTACCTGTCTTAATCGCATTATTATCATCATGACCCTGTCCGAGAATGCGATCCCCATAGTCAAGTGGTTCTTCTTTGTCAGACTCGTCAGAAGTCGGTGATTCTGAGCTAAATGATTCGCCTGTATGGCTCTCTTGATTACTATCTACCATGTTCTCTTTGTCTTCATGCAACGTTAACATTCTTGATAATTGCATTTAGAAATAAGAATTTCTATATTTGAACAGAGTTAAATATACCGATTCTACCGAGGTAAAAAAAATTACGCAAAGTTTGTCTTACTGTTGCAGATCAGAATATATCAACAACTACTTTAATTTGGTTCAGGGTAGTCATGATATGGAGAGCTCGGATTATATTATACGCAGAGTATTATTAGTAAGAACATGTAGGAATAAGAAAATTTTTATGTCCTTGAAGCTAGTTGAGATTTCATAAAAATTAAATAAGATAACTAACTGGAAATGTTTCTCTTATTCTCGAACCAGAAAAACAACTTCAAGCTTTAGAATATCAAAACACTCTACGATAAATCATTTCTTACTTGTTTAGCATAAAATTTTTCAAGCCAGGCAAAAGACGATAATATGTGAGAATGGAAATTAATTTCACTTGCACGTTTGGGCTGCAAATAATAGCGAACGTGGGTGGATTTATAAACTACCAAAACTAAGTCTAAAGATAATGTGTAACACACTGTAGGACAATTGTTATATTGTTGGATCAATTGCCGATGCACTGGTTAGGATTCAGATGCTAAAGCAAAATTTAAAGTGTTGGTATATTGTGGGGTTAGAATGGCGCATTGACGTCCCTAATACATAGATAAAGGACATTTGCACATCAGCAAGTTTTACATCATATCGAAACCCTCAAATAGTAATGTTTACCCTAGGAAATAAACGGATGCCATAATGTGCACATATTGGGGATACAGACGGTGCAGCTTATATTTTAGAGAGAATAGTACACTACACGTGTAAGACAAACGATTCATTGTCCATAGGAGACTATACTTTTCTTATAATAGGATAATGTACTATTTTAGCAAGGAGTTAGAATGCTTGTATATTAGAAGCCAGATGAACGAAAATTGCTCTATGGGTAATATAGGTTGCATGAAAGGTACGTGGCAGAAACTTAAAACAATAATTGCAGCAATCTGTAAGCATACCCGTTGGAATTTGCTTCCGACCGGAAAACGCCATGGGCTTAATATGGATCATTGCAGCATACACGATACACGTTGGTGTAGGTTGTGACGTGAATTTCCGTTTGCATGGATCTTTTTCCAAACTTTCTACGTCTAAAATTTATCAATGTAACATTCATACCTCGTGGATAGAGTTGTACAATAGTCACAACCACGTTTGCAAAGACGATAAAACCACAATATAGCAAGAAGGTATATAGCAAATGGATATGTTCAAGGTATAAATAGGTGTCGAAGGTAGAGAGTAAGTAAGCAATTCTTATGAGTCTGTATTAACTATAATACTCAATCTCACTATGCAAAGCAAAACATTTACCTCTCGCCGACTTTCTATGATAGTCTTGTCGTGCTGCTCATTACTTGGAATGGGCTGCTTCATGTATGTTGTTGATTTGTCATTCTTACAGGACAGAATTTCTGCTATTACAAAGAGAGAAGATGGATTCGAATTCGGAATCTATTCAAATAACGTTAGGGTTGATACTGACGATCGTTTCCCTTCTGAACAACCTTGGAGTGAAAGAAAAGGTGGTGTGATCCAAGCCTTACAATCTAGGGACGAAAATAGTGCTACTTTAGTTGGTTTGCAAGAATTGAAACATAACCAATTGCTTGATGTATTACAAGGCTTAAATGGTAATGGTAACAATTCTCCATGGACTCATTTTGGAGTTGGAAGAGATGATGGAGCTGAGAAAGGGGAATATTCTGCTGTTGTATACAATACTGACGAATGGAACTTATTAAACGGTACATCTAGATGGTTAAGTGAAACCCCTGATACGCCAAGTATTGCATGGGGGGCTGCAACTATTAGAATTGTTACCATGACCACAATGCAACACAAACAATCAGGTAAGGTCGTTAATTATTTCAATACCCATTTTGATCAAAAATCTGAAGAAGCAAGACAAAAGTCCGCTGAATTAATTGCTGGCTGGATCCAACAAATTCCAAATAATTATCCTACATTCTTGAGTGGTGATTTCAATTCTATCTCCTCCGATGTCGCCTATCAAACTCTTCAAAAGAGCATGAAAGACTCAAACACCGTTGCTTATGAGCATATCAATGCCAATTTTCCTACTTATACTGGATTTGAAAAGAACGACAACCAATCCATCATTGATTTTATTTGGTCTCCATTAGATACTAACCAAGAAAACTCCAATACTTATGCCCTTAAGTATGAAGTTCTTGATAACATGTACAATGGTTCTAGATTTAGTGATCACAGACCGGTCAATGTTCATTTCAAATTGTATGAATAATTTAAATCTCTTTTAACTTTCTTCCGTTATAAATTTTCAAGTTTCGTTGCTTTTTAAGGCTATCTCTTTTATAGATGCAAATAAAAGTCTATCAAGTATAATAAAGAATGCGACCTAAATTTCCGTTTTAGGTATTCTGCTTCCACGTTGAAATTAACTACTTTTTAAACATCCCATTGGTGCAAAGTAGGTTAATAACAGCCGCCACACATGTGACCAATTAGGCGTCTTATGAAGGGAAGTATAAGTTTCTGATATATATTGCAGCTAAGATATTAAATAGCTATTTTTATATCATTCGTGGACGAATATGCTTCGAGTAAACGGAACATAAAACTTAGTCTTTCCAAGGCTAATACAAGACACATACTAATGATCGTCTGAAGTCTTCAATGATTTCAAATGACTTAAGTGGAAATGTTTTATGTTGTAAATGATATTCATTGACATTTATGTACTTACTACTACATTAGGAAGTCTAAAATGTAGTGCGTAATTTGAATGAAGGCAAAATCGAGAAAACTCGAGTATCAAGTTTTGTTAACAGTAGTGAAGTTCTTTTTACCGTAAATTTATCAAAGGGCATAAAGTTGGTAATGTCGTTGAGGGCTGTTAGAAGACCTGTAAGGGCAATATTTAACCCTAGCATAAATGTATTGAAGACGCCTTCAATAAGAGGCTTACATATAACGAAGCGTTTACTTCAAGATCAAAAGACCGAAAAAGATGGAAAGGACGAGAAAATAAATACTGAAATAAGAAAATTAAAAGAGCTTAAGGAAACATACCGTAATGCAGGTTTTTTCGAAAAGTTGAAATTACATAGTCAGTTGTTGAAGCAAGAAGCCAAGGTTACTGAAGCTCAAGAATCGAAGTTGAATGCGAACATTCCGGCCCCAGTGATGAAGTTTGATGAAGATCCTATGTCAGTGGAGAATTTGACTCGGTACCAAGTCATTTATTCTTTCATGTTAACGACATTTGTACGTGAATGTGAGGCTTATACCAGACCACAATCTGTAAATTTTAATCCAGATGCATTAATTGACGATATAATTGATAGCTTCAAAGAATTCCATCCAGAGTATGCACCAGTTACAAAGAATGATGTGTTGTTTTACTTCCATGTGTATCACTTTTTACTGAACAATATCATCTTCATGGATGAGTTAAAATTCGAGCATCCTATCGTTGAAAAATTATTGAATTCTTATGTTAACATGAATCCAGAGGACAATGCAACCGAAAAGGCGAAAAAGTTAGCCGATGAAATAGATGTAAATGAAGATGTAGTTATTGGCTGGTTTAATATATTTTCAATTTTATCATCAACACCATTTGCGAAGCCAGGCCAGAAATATACTTGTTCATTATGTCCTACAGAGTATGCTCGTTTTCAGGTGTTCAATTCTCAAGTTGATGCTATTCAAGATAAGTTTTCAAAGATTTATAATGATGCGTTTAAAAAATCGAATAGTGCCAATACTAAACAAAATTCCAATGCGAATCCAGGATTGAACAACTTTATATTTCAGAATAATGATTCCAAAAAGAAGTCTCAGGATAATAAAAAGAATGATAAAAATAAAAATAATAAAGCCCCACGCGTTGCGTGGGGCTTTATTATAAATACTTTTAAAAATAAAAATAATAAAGACAAAAAACCCATGGAGTTTGAAATCAATCTCAATGGATCTCCAATGAAGTATTTTCAGCTTGGACTTTTGGGTGGTCTTTTAATGTACGTTTTGTATAATTTGTCCCAAGACAGTGATAATGAAATCTCATTCCAAAAGTTTGCAGCTGACTTTTTGAGTAAGAATCTTGTTTCGAGATTAGTCGTTGTCAATAATAAAACTGTTATTGTGGAATTGAATGATAACGGTAAAGCACAATATGGAAACCATCAAGGTCGCTTATATTTCAATGTTGGATCTATCGAATCATTCGAACGTAGTTTACGTCATGTTCAAGAGGAGTATAAAATTGCCGAACAGGTTAGAGTTCCAGTAGTATATGTAAATGAAGGTAACACCACAAAGATGTTGATTAACTTTTTACCAACAATATTATTCTTGGGTGCTATTTACTATATGACTAAAAAGGCTAGTATGGGTGGAATGGGTGGTCCATTGGGATTTGGTAAATCTACTGCAAAGAAATTCAATCAGGAAACAGACATAAAAATTAGATTTAAGGATGTTGCAGGAATGTCTGAAGCGAAAGAAGAAGTCATGGAATTTGTTAAGTTCTTGCAAAATCCTGAGAAATATGAAAAGTTAGGAGCTAAAATTCCAAGAGGTGCCATTTTATCGGGTCCACCTGGTACTGGTAAGACGCTTATCGCTAAAGCCACTGCAGGTGAAGCCGATGTTCCATTTTACTCTGTTTCAGGATCTGAGTTCGTAGAAATGTTTGTTGGTGTTGGTGCATCTCGTGTTCGTGACTTGTTTAAGACTGCGCGTGAAAATGCACCATCAATAGTATTCGTTGATGAAATTGATGCTATTGGTAAACAACGTTCAAAGGGAAATGCTAGTGGTGCCAACGATGAACGTGAAACTACTTTAAACCAATTATTGGTTGAAATGGATGGGTTTGAAAGCTCAGATCATGTTGTTGTTTTGGCAGGTACGAACAGAGCAGATATTTTAGATAAAGCTTTGATGAGACCAGGTAGATTCGACAGACACATTGCTATTGATAATCCTGAATTGTTAGGACGTAAAGAAATCTTCCAAGTTCATTTGAAGAAAATTACGTTAGCTAAGAATATCGATCATGATTTACCGGGTCGTTTGGCTGCATTAACGCCAGGGTTTTCTGGTGCAGATATTGCCAACGTTTGTAATGAAGCCGCTTTAATTGGTGCCAGATTTAATGCTGAAGCCGTTACCTCAAGACATTTCGAATTGGCAATTGAAAGGGTTATAGGTGGAATTGAGAAGAAATCCAAAATTTTGAACGCTGAAGAGCAAAAGGTTGTTGCCTACCATGAAGCAGGACATGCTGTATGTGGTTGGTTTTTGAGACATGCTCATCCGTTATTGAAAGTTTCTATCATTCCTAGGGGCCAAGGTGCTTTAGGTTACGCACAGTACTTACCACCAGATCAATATTTGATGTCTGCTTTACAATTAGAGGATAGAATGATTATGACTTTAGGTGGTAGAGTTTCAGAAGAATTACATTTTGATTCAGTAACAAGTGGTGCCCACGATGACTTCAAAAAAGTCACCAACATTGCCCAATCCATGGTTTTAAGATTCGGTATGTCTAAGAGAGTTGGTATGGTCAACTACGCGGACACTCAATCTCAAGATAACTTAACCAAGCCATTCAGCGACGAAACCAACTCCATCATAGATGAAGAGATTCAAAGAATCGTTAGAGAATGTTACCAAAAATGTGCTGATTTATTGAAAGAGAAATCTCATGAAGTTGAACTAGTTGCTCAAGAGTTATTGAGAAAGGAGTATATTACTAGAGAAGACATGATTAGATTATTAGGTAAGAGGCCTTTCCCAGAAACCAATGATGCCTTTGATAAATATCTTGACGGTAAGGATATTTTCAAAGACGAGAAGCCTGCAGATGAAAAAAAAGATGATGCTAAATAATCAATTTAATTAAGATAGTAACTGTATAGAGTTGCAGGCCCATTTGTAATGTTTCAATATGAAATTTTCTTGTATATATACTAATAAAAGAACTTTATAAACCTGTTAATGTAGTTAATAATTAGGTTAAATAGAATTGTGCAAAACACACGACCTCTAGTCAATTGGAAATAAACACGAGAAATGGTTTTTTAGTACGTACCGCTTAAATTATTGATCATTTATTAATAAACAAACGTAAATGCCAAGATCTAGATCTCGTCAAAGCAAAAGGACTCAATCACCAGAAGAGACGCGGTCCCCCAGAAGCTCAAGGGCTCGCCGTGCTGATCTTTCAGGATTGGACTTAAATCCAGAAGAAGTGGATGATGATGAAGAATATAGCGAACAGATGCAGGAAGATGAAGATGAAGAAGATGGGGCTAAGAATGACTCAGAAGATAACGAGGAAGAAGAAGTGATAAGTAAGAGAAATTCCAGAAAGAGAAAGATTGATAGTGATGAAGATGAAGACGATGACAAAGTGGAAGAAGATGGAATAGAAGACGAAGAAGATGGAGAGGAAGAAGAAGAAGAAGAAGAAGAGGATCAAGAGGAGGAGGAAGAAGAAGAAGAAGAAAAAAAGAAGCCCATTGAACGCAAAGTGCAAATTCATATGGAGGATAAAAGAAGGGGCCCAAAAAAGAGAGGTAGAAAGAGGACTAGATTGACAATCACCGATGATGGATTCTTTGACGAAGAAGGTAACACATTGAATATTATCGATGACGAGGTTGTACTTGATGATGAAGATCCTAAGGGAAAAGAAAAGATTGACGAGAACGGTAATTTGCAAGGAAATAGACAGTTCCGTATGAAAGTATTCACTGTTTTGGGAAATGGGGACAAGAAATTCATGATTTCTACAGAACCTGCCCGTCTTGTAGGGTTCCGTGACTCCTATTTATTATTTAAGACTCACAGGAACTTGTTCAAGAAGGTTTGTACCCACGAAGAAAAAATTGATCTTATTGATAGACACATAATTCCAAATTCATATAAAGGTAGGTCGGTTAATTTGGTTGCGGCTAGATCTATTTTCAGGGAATTTGGAGCAAGAATTATCAAAGAAGGTAAAAAGGTGATCGATGATTTCTGGGAACAAAGAGCTATTGATAATGGTGATGTCCCCGGTGAATATGCAGACCCAGCGGAGTTATATGGAAATCTTTATAAGCAACCGACAGTTTTAGGCGACACCGGTTCGAATGCAGGGACAACGCCGATTGCGGGAGCGCCCGTAGTTAGTTATCAATCTGATCCAACATGGATGTATCAAATCGCTTTGAAAACAAGAGAGTATAATTCTAAATTGCTCGAACAAAGAAGTCAAACGTTCATTCGTGGTATTAAGGATGTATATACTGGATTAAATTTTTATCCAACTAGCACTCAGCCTACAAGGGTTAAAATGATGAAAGTTGGTGAGAATGAGGATGAAACAATAACATATGATACTACATTTGTGAATCCAAACATTCGAAGTAAGGTGACGGGTTTAAGGGATGTGCCTTTGAGCATTTTCGAAGATATAGAAGACGAAGAACTCAAAAACGCAATTTTGGAGCAACAAGCCTATGAAAAATCATTTGTAAATTGAATACTATCTTATTGAATAAAGTGTATTAGTATATATGTAATATAACAAGATAAAATTAAATATCCGTAATTAAGATGAATTAAAACAAATGTCAATTTTTGATTAGTTAAATGTATCATCAGCAGAATCAATTGCACCAGGAGAATCATTGATATCTCCCATATCATCGTCCATATCATCATCCATATCTGACAGATCTTTACTAGATTTTCTCTTTTCCATATGCGCACGTAGCTCGAAGTCAACTTTTGTTTTCCTTCGACCTACGTGTACTGTAATGTCACCCTCTTCCACGATCTCTGCATGTTTCTTAGAGTACGCAACTTCAGCTTTCGCCTCTCTACCCGAAATTTTATGGTTTACTCTTATATGTTTTGCTAAGGTGTCATGCCTAGTAAATATTCTGGGGCCAATATTTGGGCTTTGTTTCACACAAACGTAGCACTTGAATAGTTTTTTCTTTTTTGAATGAACCGTTTCTTGATGCCTAATTAATTCATATTTTCTTGAGAAGCGACGTAAGCACATCTTATCAGGCTCATCAGCCGAAGGTAATTGACATTCGTGAACAACGTCAGGATCGTAATTTGAAGATTTATTAGATGGTTTTGCTGCAGAGGTTTTCTTAATGATTCTATGAGCTGCAAGCTTCGAATCCACTCTTATTTTCTTCTTTTCACTTGGAGTCAATCCAGCCAATGATTCCGAAACAAACTTATCATGATCATCTGCCGATGCATTAACATAAAGAAATGAGGAAGGAGTACTTGATCCAGATAAATTTTCGTAAGGACTGAGCGAAGCATCATCAGATACGGGAGAAACAGAATTTCCAGAATCTTGAGATATGGATTTCTTCGATTTTGGACGTTTGGTTTTTGCTTTAAGCTTGATAGTTTCGTTTATGGAGGCTTGGTCGTACTTGTATTTTGAATAATCCTTGATGAATTTGGCGTAACATTCGTTCAAGTCAAATTGTATAATTGACAAGAAATGATAGATAGACGGCTTCCACGTCAATAAGTTATATAATTCCCAATAATTTAAGTTCATAATCAAATTTGTTAAGAATCTAATTGTTCTAGTAGACAAATCGACATTTCTATGGTTGGTTGAAATTTTAACAAATATATCGAAACACTTCTCGACAATCGTGTGTAACCTAGAATGTATCGGATTATCATTATCAATATATCCAGGAAGCATATCCATAAGCTCGTACAACTTTTTCTCCAAAGTCGTGAATTGGTCTTGCCCAATTTGGTCCTCGTGGATTAGCGATATAATCTTGAAAATGTGTTCGTTGTACTCGTCAAGAGATTGAGGTGTACAAACATTCAAAATAGAGACAACCTCATCCAATGAGCACTGTCCCTTTTGCGTTAAGAGTTGTGTCTGGCTTACTTTGGTCCCCTGTCCGTCTGGTATGCGAAAGCCCGGCTTGATACCATCACTGTTAGCCTCCGAATTATATGATCCCCACGCATTCTGGTTCAATAAATGTAACGGTGAATAAGTCATCTGACAAGTGTATCACCAATTAATCAAAACCGTGTGTTTTTGATTACCCAAATTTACTTCTGATTCTGATTTGACTTGAAAATGATTTTGCCATAAATTTACAATACCAATTAGTACCGTTCAAAAATTTACAAAAACCAGTGAAAATCTTCTACGAATCAACCTAACTGAAACTTGAATGTATAACGTATCTTCTAGGAGTATTTCCACACTTACTCCAATCTTAGTAATAGCTATTAGATGTCACTTTGGCTAAGTTATTGGTGGACTAGGTAATTTTTTATGATTGACTGCAATAAATGATCCAAATTACACGACTTTCCAGCATCGGTTTTTTTTTGCGTCAATTGAGTTTAGCACATGATTTTTGGTCTTACAGATAATTTGCACCCAGAAGGCTACCATTAGCATTACACAATATATAAGCAGAATGTACATACAGAAATGAGAATAATTAATTTACTAATGATTTAGAATCATCTCGCTTTTTACGCAATTCTAAAATCAGGCTTTGGAGTTTTGAAGCTTCTTCTGGAGAAACCGATGATGGTAAATTGTATGGATCCAAACTTAGGAGATCGGCCTCAGACAATTCCTCGTTAGAATTTAGCTTGCGAATTGCGTTTGAAGTGGAGGAATTCAAATATGCCACATCCATCGAGTGTTCATGAGGATTGGCTGCGCTAGAGTCTTTGTCAGCTTCAAATTGGTATTTATGCAGCTGTGCCGGGCTTGAAAACCGAAATTTTTGGAAGTTATCTTTTATGACTGATGCCTCCGGTTTATTGAAATTAACCGAGTTGATATTAACGTTGCCACGAGATGGACTTGTAGAAGGTGATGCCGCACTTTGAGAATGTAAGCTCAGACTATCGGGGTTGGGGGATTTATCAATGCCCGTGGTATCAGGGGATGTATTGGAGATTGCGGAAGTATTGGAGACCACGGATGCGTTTGGAGGTGACAATATGTCTGAGTCATTATTGGCTTTCGACTTGTTGGACGAAGAACTCCCCGGTTGGTTTCTACTTTGGCCGTCCCGAGTACTGAACAGCAAGAATCCGGCATAACTTGATTTTATAGTAAAATCGCTATTCAAAAACTGAGGACGAGGTAAAGGTTTGCCAAATTGTCCTGAAGATTGATTGCGAGGTAATTTGCTAGGATCATCAATTACTTCCACGTTCTCTTTAGCATAATTGACCGCCATCTTATTTTCCTTACCAGTAATTCCATGTTTCCTTCTTATGTGTCTTGCAAGCGAATCGTGTCTTGGGTAACTCTGTACCTTGGTTCCGTTTCGTGAACAATAAATGCATTTATATATTTTTTTCTTTGTAGCATGAACGAATTCCTGATGTCTCAATAATTCGTTTTTACCGTAAAAAATCTTTAAACATGCTTTCATGGTGTGAGGATCCATTAGATGACATTGATGTATCACACCTGATTTTGATTTATTTTTCTTTGCCTCTTCTTCGGTAAGTCCTTTTTCACTTCCAGAATGTATTATTTTTATTTCAAATTGATTGTTTTCATCATTATTTTTGACATAATTTTCAGAACTTGGACTTTGGCTAGATGCAACTTCTCTTTCTAGTTCATTATCATAGTTTTCATTATCGTCTTGTTGAGGAGGTGCCTCTGAACTTTCTTTAACTTCAGGTATCGGAGTTTCGTCAATTTCATGATTTGTGGCTTCCTCATAAATTTCGTTTTCTTGTTCTTGTTCTTGTTCTTGTTCTTGTTCTTGTTCTTCTTCGACTTCATTCTCATCTTCGATTTCATTCTCATCTTCGTTGAAAGTTTCATTATAGATTTGGCTCAGGTCATTTCGTTGCCTACGTGTGGCGCCTCTAGTTTTATATTCATATTCTTTATTATCAGCATTGTCGGTTATCTTTTCAACTTCGTTCCTTGTCACTTTTTCTTTGCTCTTTGTTGCTTCTATATTATTGGTGCCAACGTTTTTGATTGCAGGCTCATTTTTTATAGGAGTTGGAGCATCCAATTGCCTTTTCTTTGCAGTGTGTTGTAAATTTGCTAATGTTATATCAATGTACGGCGTAATGTTAATCTTTGAATATTTCCTTTTCTTCACAGTTGGGTCTAACGAATGATAAGAATAGTTATAAAATGGATATGGAAATGGATATTGTAAGCCTTGGGACATTGATTCGATCATTAAGTTTTTTGGTGGTCTAACAAGAGGTCCGAAAGGTGTCTGAACAACCTCTATGTCAACTAATTTTAAGATATATTCCAAATCAGGCAAAAGATATAGTAAATGATATACCTCCCAGTATTGTAACATATAAACTAACTCAACCATATATTTCGTTATATGTGATGCTAAAGACAAGTTAAAGTAAGTGGACGAAAACTTTAATAATGGAGCGTAATTGTCGATCAATATCTTCGATAGTTGTTCATTAGGATAGAAAAGTCTATAATGACTTTCTATCGCCGATGATGGTTTAGGAATGTAAGACGTTAACTCGAATAAGTTTCCTTCTATGGACATTCTCGAAGTATCATCTAAATCACGTTCTTCATTTAATAAGTAGAGTAGCTCTGATAAATGCGACGAATAATGATTAATAGACTCATTAGGTAGAAATGCCGAGCCTCTTTCAGTCACTATCAATGGTTTATGAGCTGTCAATTTCATCAAATCATCAACTATGGGATCCCGGTTCCGATCGTCATTTTCTGCCACTGCTGACCGAGGAATATCCTTAGCTATTCTCCTTAACAACGCTATTATTAAGTTAGTACGATTGCAATAAACATATGCGATATATTGCTTCATTTCAGACCAGAAAAAACCGCTAATTTTGTAATTTGCTTCTTTCACAACCATCGAATAAAAAGCAATTCGCTATACATAGTTTCGAAAACTCCAAAAGGGAGAATACATACACTCAGGATGAAAGGCTTCTCCATTGATTGATTCCTCATTAACCTATTAATATATGTTAGTAATCTGTTGAACATAAATGCTAACTTTCTGTTAATCTGTTACCGATATTAGTTGGCACCTGTGAATTTCCTCATAAAATCATTACGTAGACCTCAAAAAAATCTCTAATAAGTAATCAGAAAGTAAAACAAACTTTCAAAAATAACATACCTCTTTAACCCCTGAATAAACAGACATTTCCATACAAAAAATAACTGATGTTGTATCTAATATTAAGGTTAAATTGTCTTTATTATTGTAATGGCCAAATTTTAATCAGCCTGCAACCAATTTCATCGAGTAGTAGGTGCAACAAAATTGATAAAATTGGAATTTACGATTTCTGCACGACCCTTTTGACTACCCCTTTCGGAAGGTTATGCTATTAGTTCTTATACAGATTTTCTAAAGTCATTAGTATATATACATTAATAAATAGGAATCTAGGAATATAGACAATTATATAAACACACTACCACCTGTGGAGGGTCTTCTACGACTAATATCGGCTTCTCTC